CCCTCTCAGGGTCTTAGAGGGAGACCACCCAAATGAGGATCTCTGAACCCCTCAAGTTAGTCTCAGGGTAAGTGTACTTCAGGAACAATGTTTGTTGAACAAATAAATACCATTAGGCTTCAGTTGCTATATCTAAAAGTAAAATTCTGTCTAACGTTTCAGAAAATATAGTAAAATCCAGATGAAATTTTGAGCTCATTAGCATGGTGGTACTGGAGACACTCTTGTGATGTGATTTGGTCAACCTCAGTCAATGTGGAGTTTTATATGATAAGGATAGTTGTAATTATATTAAGAGCATATTAACCTTATAATTACATAATGCCTGCCTTCTACTGAGTTAAACATTTTGCAAAAATCACTTTACAAAACATTTAATGTTACCACATCAAGATGAAAGAACCAAACGCTATCATTTACTATGCCATGAGTAGGTAAACTGACAAACTTGCTGCAGAACTTTCATTAAAATATATTGTAATTTCTGTACTGACCACAAGACTAGTAATGTGAAATATGGACATAGTTTCCTTTCCCATTAAAACTACAAAATGTCTAGCCCACCTTTTTCACAATAATTTTTAATATAGGAGCCATTACCATATTACTCTTTTGTAGCATAAAGACTTCACAGTCAATAAAGTGAGTTTATGTGAACTACAAAAATCATAACCCTAACATGAGTTTGCAAAATTTAGAATATTTCTTGATAAGGGAAGGATATTATCCTCTTGTTTTCAACCACTAAATCATTTAACTACTTATTTTTGAAAAATAAAAAGTAAATAAATATTTTCCAATTTTATTTCTAGTCATTTAAAACTGTTCTAGTCCTAAGTTTCATAAAGTAATGTAATACCTTAAAGCCCTTATTTAAGTAAACAAGAAAAACATTAAAAACACTGGAGTTTAAAAATAATGATATTCATTAATTTAGTATATTCTGTCTTTCTCCTGTCTACTTGGACTATTTTTTTGGTTCTAAAGTGTTACATCACCTTGATTCATTACTGTATTGATGTTAGATAAACATAGAAACCTGTTTGTGAGAAATATATTTGGCAAATAGAATCACAAAAAATGATGTTAAAATGTTAGAGAAGTCCAGACAGATATCAGATGATTAAATTTGAGATAAAGGAAAACTTAGAGTGGAACCCTTGCTTATGGCCCTCGTGGTTTGGAACTCCATAACTTGGCCACAGGAGTGCAAGCCATGAAAAGCACACAGCAGAACCAGAGGACCTGGCACACCCCAATGGAACCTCAAATGTGCTGAATCAACAATTTCTATATAAATCATCAAGTAAGTACACTCAACTGGGTCAAGTTCACCTGGGTGCCAAGATCTACTTCCATGTGAATCACCACATTCAAAGAGAGAAACTAAGGGAATTTCCCAGATATAGACTGGTATAGATACGTAAAATGTCTGAATAAAAATATTTTAATAGCCTATAACATCATATCCACCTTAAACATACATACCTCACATCCAGTAGTAAGAATTTTTCTTCTTCATAATTAAAATTCCTAGTTGTCAAACTGAAATTTTAAAACTTTAGCTTTGCTTGAGAGTAAGCCAGTGTGTCTACTTTTCCTAACATTCTTCTTTAGTGCTCATATTTGCCTCCTGATTATGCCAAGGGGAGTTCTTAAACTTATAATTTTTTGGTGGGAACATTAGAAACAATATCTCTTAAACTGCACTGACAAATACTGGGGAGTCACACCCTTTGATTCACTCGCTAAACTTCCTTAAGAAAGCCAACAAAAAGCGTTCAGAGGTGGAGTTTTATGCTAGCAAATGTCAATTCAGACCTGTTAAAGACAGTGAGCAAACTTGCCTGCTACAGCAAGCATTCCACCCAAATTGACTAGGTGTGGCTTTTATTCATTGTTCATTCATACTCAATAGAATCTGTTCTCTAGCTACCATCCCATTTAGATTGACATTCCCTTTATCTGGGGGCTTATAATAAGCAAATCATATTCAATTTTGCCAAGGCAAATGTGCTCTTCTGGTATCCTAAAAGCAGATCAAAGTATGCTTTGTGGCAAGACCTGAAGTCCAAGCCAGTGATACAAATGGGTTTTAATATGCAACCATACAAATACCAGGACTAGAAAATTTTAAAACAAAAGCTTGACTATTTAAGGAACAAGAATCAGATTATTTGGCAAGGGGTGGTTAAAAGGGATAGAGAGTTGTTTAGGGGAGAGTAGGTACCAGAGAAATTGAGTAAAATTATATGTGACTCCTTTAATAATATCAGGATTCATAATAATTTTTTTCCCAAATCAGACTTGTAAATGCCACTTAGAATTACTCACACTAGCTCAATTATACCACATCTGCAAAGGTAGCTTCCTAGACCACAGAAGAGGAGCATACCAACCATCTTGGGTTAGATTTTTTTACACATAACAACTGCAGAAATTAATCTTTTATCAGTTTATCACATCACAACAGCTATCATTAAATAATCTACAAGGTAGAGAAGCAATTTCCAATCGTTCCCTGGGGTCATCTAAGTAATGCCTTGTATCTTGTGATATGCTATAAAATAAATTGTACTCCAGTGAGTCATATCAGTCATCTTTTGCAGTCTGAAATCTGAAATTACCCTCATTGAAGAAAAGAAAGGGAAATGTATTCTCTTACAGAAGGCATGGAGAATCAAATTGGATAGTATAAGTCAAGAGGCTGGAAAACTTAATGGATTTCTTATTGGATTCTTACAAAGCTACGTTCTGTTCTCCACTGTGAGCCAGCATGACCAATAATGCATGAAGGGTTAAGACTTGGAATGGAGAGACTCTAGCAGAGGCTAAATAGAAGGTGTATAGTCTGATCCCTCTGTACCCCTGCTATACCTCACACCTTGCTCTCTGATTCCCTGAAACAGGGCATTTGAATGGTGCCCTGAAGCTGTCACTTGACCTTTGAAAAGACATATGCTCCAGCTCCATGGGAAATGCAGGGCTCAGGTGTCTGATAATAAAATCTGGCTCCTATTCTTTGCTCAGTTTGATATTGGGACATCCCATGAGAGGCTGAAAGTCGTAATGGTGAATTAAAAGCTCCTGTGCTCTAGTCACTTTTGACAAACATCCTCCCATCCCTCTCACCTCCAGCCTCTGGCAACCACCCTTCTACTCTGTTTCTATGAATTCAACTTTTTAAAGATTCCACATATAAGTGAGAGCATATAGTATTTGTCTTTGTCTGGCTTATTTCACTTGGCATAATGCCTTCCAGGTTCATCCATGTTGTCTCATTTCACAATGTATACATATATCACCACATCTTACACCTTAAATATATACAACTTTGTCAATTATACTTCAATAAAGCTGGGAAAAATAACAGCTCCCTTGCTTTATTCTCCATCTACTCACATTTTCTGGACTCACCAAGTATGTTCACTTCTCTGTAGTTTTGCTTATACTATCCTCAGTATCTATAATGCCTTCTTTCCCCTAGTCCCTTATAAGTAGGGAGCAACTAAGAAACGTCAGCATGTGAAAGCCCAGGAAAGAGTTTTAACAAGGAGTTCCAACCATGTAAAGTATTACTGAGAGTCAAAAGAGCTTTCAGGAGCTCACTGGCAACCTTCTGGGAACTAATTTATCAACATAAGTAATCAGGATTGAGTTCCAAGGCAAATATTTTTGGCAAACTAAATAGTACAAGACATGAAATCTATTTATTTTACTTAAATCTGTCTAGACATTCTGGAAATACAGTATCATGGTGCAAAACTTTAGTGACTCATCAATGCTGTCCCCCCACCTGGTTTTGCATTTATCTGTAAAGACGTACTAGTTAAAAGGTGTCATATCAACACAGATCTCTTTGAATCCTGAGAATCAATTGTAAAATCAGATAGGCTTTGCTGAAAGCAGATCCTCCTACTCCCACATTTTTATTGCATCTACATACTACATACATATTTCAGTTTTCAGTGTGTTTATTATATAGTCACTGATGAAATGGGTAACAAATAAAGGTAACATATAGACTTTTCAAATTCATCTTGTTAATGGTTTAAAGGAAGTAGACCCGCTGAAATTAGAATGCGGCACCACTGAGTTAAATTTTAGACCTGAATAACTGCAGCACCAAAAGTTTTCAATCCCTCCTAAGAAGTATAACGGCAAAATGCAACGTTATATTTTAAGGTAGCAGGACAAGATGAATTCCCAAAAGAACAATATGAACAGAGATAGCTTACTTACTTTTTATAGGATCCATTTAAACTCACTAATTGACAAAAATTAGACACTTGTCTAGAATGACACCATAATGGTATTAATTTCTGCAAAGGGAAACTGTAGCTATGTTAACATAAAACCACCATCAAACACCTGGCTTTCCTCAAGACTGTTAAGGTCTTGAGAAATAGGGAAAGACTGAGAAATGTCACAGACCAGAGGAGAGAGGGGAGACAAAATTGAAATAAAAGCAGCATGGTACCTTGGATTAGACACTGGAATAGAAAGATTACATTAATGGAAAACCTGGTGAAGTCTGAGTAAAGCCTGCAATTCAGTTAATAGTGATGCATGAATGCCAGTTTCCTGGTTTGGACAAATCTACCATGGAAATATAAGATATTAACAGTGGGGAAAACTGGGTTGAGGGATAATACGGGAACTTTCTGTACTACTTTTGCAACTTTTCTGTAAATTTAAACTTATTTCAAAATAAAAAGTTTATTAAAAAGCAACAACAACAAAATCCCCATCAAAGAACATTAGGAAATTTGTTGGAATTGCTGTCTTCCATGTAATAAAAATCAAACCTCCAATCCAATACACCTGATTGGTCCCTCCACATGCATGGCTGTGTAGTATCAATTAACATATTAACTCTTGTCCTAAATCTTGCTGCAGCTAACTTCCCCAAGTCCCTGCAAGGTTATTCCAATGTAGATAGATATTCTTTTTTAAAAAAGACATAGATTGGCCATTTTCAAGACATAGCTGTGACTTACAAGTGATGACATTTGAGCGTTTTGGAGCATAAGCTGCATCTGCTGGGCGAACATGGCTGCGGCAGTCTTCTGTTGAATTAGATTGTTCCGTCCATTAATCTCCAGCTGCGTTTTTAAGTGTGGAGGAGGGTGAAGGTACTTGCAGTTCTCTCGAGTACAACGACCCTAACAATGAAGAATGTGACAAATTTGCATTTAGTATTTCTAAAAATCGGATATGGTTAAGAAAATAGTAAGAGTTTATTAAGCTCTTAGCACGTGCCAAGAACTGTAATAAGCTCTTTACGTGAATTAACTCAGTTAATCATCATACCAACTCTGTAAATTGGATACTCTTATAATCTTCATCTTCCAGGCGAGAAAACTGAGACTAAGAGGGGTAAGTGGACGCACGGCTAAAAAGTAAAAAGAACAGAACTAAAACCCAGTGAGTCTGATTCCAGAATTCATTCTTTTTGCCCCTCTGCTCTATTCTACTTTGATATGCATCAAATTATATTTTAAAACATGAAATATCAGAAATAGAATATCATCATACCATTACAGATTTAAATAAAAATTTTCCAACGTGAGATGTGAAATCATGCACATTTAAATTAAATAAGCCTCGGGATTTGGATCTACATCTATAAATAATCAAAAAATTTCAGAGAAAATATTTAATTACACACAGATAAATGTATAAAGCTTGAACTTTATAATTTGGGACAACGTAGGCTCCAAAGCTCTTTATCTTGAATCCATACAAGGTGAGAAACATCCTGAAATCCACTCACATTCTGTTAAAGAATAAATCCCTATACCTGGCAGCCATGTTGTTCTTTAGGTACCGGAGGCAGTGACCCTAGATCACTTGCATAATGAAGAACAAAGTGTATTTTGGATCCTCAGCTATTTGAATGTTTTATTGATGGCTTAAGCACTTTTAAGACAGGAGAATATGTCAGTTCTGTGGGATCACAGATGTCTTTGGTGTCACCTACATGCTGACATGGCTGCTGATTATGATGTTTACATAGTAGGAAAGGATGTCACTGAACTGGTTGTTTATCACATTGTCATAATGTGACCTATTATTGTGTTTAACTCATAAATGCTACACAAAGCAGCTAATGATTCTCTCATTTGGATTAATAGGTCCACCAAGATCTTTTTAAGACAAGCACAACTGCACACAATTCTATTTCCCACAGATGCTAAGACTCTTTACGGTACATGAAGTTACGGGGGGGGGGGAGGAAAAAGGGAGATTTTTTTTATTGGACCCAAGAGTGTAAGTTGCTGGGCCACCTGAATTCTCAGGAGAAAAATGAGTTTTTTTCACCAAGTGTTTTCATTCAACAGATGCTATGTATTTTCCTTATTTACAATGTCTTAAACGGTTTATATAATTACTTTTCCGTATTTAGTTATCTTGTTATTAAAGCATTCCTATAATTTCACTAAGAATCAAGGCATATCCTTCAAAAATTTTATAGAGCTACATATAATGCAAACTCAGATGCATTGCAACTGCTCTTTTAAATATTAGATCACTGGGACAAGGTGGCTCTATTGTTTTCCCTCCCCTGGCAAGAAACTGAGTATAAATTAACACCTAGTCTGAGAAATTAAAAGATACGCTATTATTTTCTGTTGAGTTTTTCCTTTGGTTTCTCCCATTGCTCAATTTACTTTTAATCAAATTAAAATGACTTACAAAATCAAATAATATCTTAGTTTCAATGTACTTTTATATTTCCATGCAAATCCTAGAAAAAGAAGAATTTATTGGTAGTATGAGTTGAAAATGGTATTAACCTAATCCTCCCAAGTTCATAAAAGTAGCCTAGGAATAGCTACATAATTTCAGCACATTTAAGGACTGTAAGGAGATCCTAGTATGTGCTAAAATCATAATAATAGGAGTCTTTTCCCCATTAATGTACCCCTAAGAGAAACCATAAGCTTCTTTTTACACCTACCACAGCCTGCACCAAGGTAAAGACAGTCACGAGGATTTTTCCCCTTAGATTCTCCACCCACGTAACTGAAGTTATCTGGCTCAGAATTAACAGCCCAGAGAAGGTAGCAGCACTTGGTGACTTCTACAGCCAAGCACACTAGTTTACCCATCTACTTTGGGGTTTCTCTTCCCCCTCCCATACTCTAACATTAAAGATTTCCCCAAGGCCCAGTTCTAAATCCTCTGCTCTCCTCTCTAATCTCTTTTCCCTGGAGAACTGAAGTTGTTCCAAAGTTTCATCTATCATCACAACTGCTTAGATCTTAAATCTCTATCTCTATCCCTGACCTCTCTTCTGAGTATCCGTCCTTTTTATGGCCATTTGCAGCTGCATTTGGAGATCCTGCCCCCTAACTAGGTATAAATAACTTACTCCTGACCTTCCTTCTCCTTTGACTATTTTTCATCTTGCTGCATACTCACATTTAGGGCCATCACTTTGATTCCTGTGCTTTGGGGTGGTTACATAGCAGCAGTGAGAAAAGAAATTAGGCAGCTGCTGAGCAAGATTGCTTTAGGATTGCAAAGCCACCCAGATAGCTTGCCCAGACAATTAGCATATATAGCCATAGAATCCAATTTGTAACCCCCTTCAAGAAAAGCTATATGATGAGGACTATCTTTCATATTCAAGAATTCCAAACAGATGGGTTAAAAAAAAAAAAAGAGAGAAAAGCGTAATTGGAATTTTATAGTTTGTTACAATTTAGAGTTTTAATATCATGTATGTTGAATGCAATCAGAGAGAGAGAGAGAAAGGGAGGAAGAGAACACGGTGTATTTGGCACATTTCCTGTCAATCTACCGATAAAGAATTAAACATGCCTTTGTGCTTTTATATCATTGTTTTTTACATACAGTAACTTTTCTTAAGCTTTTTTTTTTGGGAAAACTAATGACATGTTTACAAAGCAAAAACAGTACACAGAAATAGGAAAAAAAGAAAATTACACTTTAAAAATTACATCAAGTTGGGCTATAAAACTAAAGTATGGAATATGAGCCAGCATGAGATTTAAAGGAATTTATTCATCTTAGTTATGAGATTTTGCTTGATTTATAAAGCATTCTTTTTTGAATGACAGAATCCATAATTTAATTCTATAACAATGCAAATGCATAGCAATACCACCTTACCAGAGACTGCTGCTTATGTTAAAGAAAGCTTATAAAATAAAAAAATCTGCATTTTCTATCCAAATAATAGATAAGGAGACCAAGTAATTTAATATTTATGTTATCTGTGGAATACAATGTTTCAGAAGAAAACCATACCTCTCATGTTTTTTCAAATGACTTTAGAATTCAGGATAATGTATTTATATGCACAAAACATGGTGATAATAAATCTCCTTTACATAGCATTCATTCTTCAAGAGGTCCAAACTTAATTATAGGCCGAAATACTTTAATTGGCATTTGGAAGGGAACACACTTTGTTTTAGACATTTGTTAACACTTGTTTCTAATCCTTGTAGAAGATCAAGGCTTCGGTAAAGCATGTTAAGATGACATACAGAAGGAGTAATGGGGGGATTGTGTCAGCAGAGTAGGTAATCACCTATTATTTTTGTCCTTTGGAAAACCAATGACTATGGACTAGAAAGCCCGCTGAGCACCGTGAATGGGCCACAAGATGCCCATCACACTGGGTCTCTAACGGCCCAGTGTGATAGCCCAACTGCCATTTGGGGCCTGAAAAAAATCATCCCTCAGGTTTCCCTAGACAAGCCAATGATGTCCCAAGCCCCCTTTCTTCCACTCTAGACCCACAGGCCAGTCTGAGATGCCCCATACTAGTTCAATCTTAGACTATATCATAAATGACTCTATAAATGTTGTACCTGTGATAGTCACCATCCTCTGATAGAGCAGGCTATATCCTAAAACCAGCAGCTAAGGCTAGTCAAGACATGTAAATCGATCTCTCCCCCCACCCCCATATACACACAAAATTAAAGGAACATTGAAGAGATTAGAGCACAAGGTCATTTATGCTCATCTCAATTTCCCTCCTTTTTCATTTCCTTTTGGCCTTAAAACACATATTATTCTCATCTGGTTTTTCACTGTGTTACTAAGTTAAGAAAATAGCAAAGTGATTCAATAGGAAAGTGATTCTCTGCTGAAATAAATGCTACTACACCTATGAATCTTTCAGCTCCCCCTTTCCCATCTACTGTCTTTGAAAATGCACCCAAAAAGCAGCAGGGGGAGAAAATGGCCAATGACATTTCTGAACTAGATCTGCATCAAAAAGTTGATGACAGACAAAGGAATAAGTTGCAGAGCATTTAGAAAACCTCCCAAATTCAATCTATTGCTTTTTTCCTACCTCAGGCTTTTCACAAATGAGTACAAAGCCTTTGACTAAGAGAGAAAAGTAGCATTGTAGAGATTCAAATCCTACCTAAATCTAGGGAGTTATGAGAGTCAGAGTCTGTCAGATACAAGACTTCCCATGCACTTGGTGGGAGAAAAATCCTGTGAAATGTACCTTTTTATGTTCCCGAGAGAAAGCCCTACCATCCATCAGAATAAGAAAAGCAACCTAGGAAGCTGAAAATTACTCTTTGTCAGTCACAGTATCTTAACGGCAACAGCTGTTTGCAGAATGACTTGCTTCCTCAAATACACTTGGAGTTATAGGGGAAAACTACCCTTATATATCTTCTCTTAAATACAATTATAACTGGATTACTTTTTCAGAGATATAATCTCACTGATCTATTAGACCACCAAGAGTTAAAAGTTAAATTATTAAATAAAGGGACCAAAGAAATGATTTGTTCTATGAAGAAAAATGTTGTTATTCTATTTTAATGATCATGTGTTAAATGAAAAATCCTAGTGATAATACTGTCCCATGGTAACATACTTAGGTGCATAGACATGGCTTCTCAGAAGAAAAAACATGTGATTTTAGAATTACAAGTCATATGTTCTAGGTTGCCTGGTTCCTGCTAGGAAAAACCTGAAAGAGTTAAAATTGAATCAGCATCAACATAAATTGAGTATTAGCCAGGTATCAGTATCCTAATGGCAAATATCCTCTTTCTTCCTCTTAAAATTGTCTTTACAAAAATGGATACAATCTGCACCATTTTCTCCTCCAAATACTGTACCATCTATAAGTATTGATATATATGCACAAAGAGCATCCTTAAAATTCAACATACAACTTTTAATTTAAATTTGAGATTCAGGCATGAAATGTAGAGGGAAAAATCTTTAATAAACCAATTCCTAAATATATTGCAGGCAAAATTAATGAGACTGAACGTAGACCCCCATGGAGAGGGCTAGCCAAGAACCTCACCATAGTGGTCAGCACTGCACCCCCTTCTCATAGTATCCCAACTCTGTTTTCTTGACATATCCCATACGCACATATGCAGGGCAATGACTTCCATGCAAACCAGATATCGAATTTGAATAGGGGAGAAGCTAGGAGGACAGTAGAGGAATTTTCTTGCCTATCTGCCTTAAGAAAGCTTTTACATTGTGACCTCCAAAAGACGAAGGGAAGACTGGGCTCAACGATAATACTGTTGTTCTGAAGTAGCCCACTAAGATAATTTGATTCCCCAAATCGAAACACTTTAGGGCTGAACTGGATTTTAGGGAACAGCTTACTCACCTTTATCTTACGGAGAAAGAAAGTGAAGGCCAAAGGGGTGAGGTGACTCGTCCTAATGCACAAGCAGCGCAGTAAGCACATACGCCGAGTTTCCACACTCTCACTACCCAGTGTGGGTTCTCAGTTCAAATGACTTTTCCTCTGGAAAGATTTTCCTGAAACTATCTCCTCACTCCAACGCCCATTTTTCTCTCCCTTCCTTGTGCCTCCAAATGCACCTTGCACTTGGTTTTATCTTAGCACTTATCTCTGTGTACATCGATAAACTATTTACATGCCTGTCTCCCTTATTAGACTTTGAGCCTCTATAAAGGCAAAACTACATCTTCCTCATCTTTGAATGTCTAGGGATGTGCCTGTGCCCGGCATAGCCACTCAATGCAAATTTGTTGAACTTTGTGAGGATAATTTTATAGGGCATAACACTTAGCATCTAATTGCTTCTCTTGCTACTTCCTTTCATAAGTTCTTTCTTCTCCCTCCAAGAAGAGAACAATAGTCAACACATGACTGAGGCTGTTCCTGGTTGTCTGTTCCAAATGAACCGTTATTCTATTCATGTTCAGAAAATAGCTAATTCGTAACCTTTTTTTTTTTTTTCTGCTATGAATATAAACCCTGAGGAATATGTGACCATCATGGCTAAAAAAAATCTTGGTAATTTAGTATAATTTAACCAGAAGTGACATGAATCCATGAGGCACACAGACACAAACTCTGGTCTAATTCCAGGGGTCTCTGGCCACAAGGGCCCCCAGGATACAGGGCCTCACTGGCTGAATAAAGGAGCCAGCGGCAGATCCATATCTAATCAGCACTTGGGCCTGTCCAAAGAGAGCCCTGCATTTCCAGGGTCAGCTTAGAAGAAACTGCATTCTCCAACTCTCCCACCCCTACCCTAAATTTCTCTGAACAAGCTGCAAGTCGAATTCCCTGAAGCTACTTAGACAAAGGTGGAATACATGGCTTTAGGAAAATCGCAGCGGGTGGGGCCTTCTTGTGGCTCTCCACTGCATATGCTGATTTACAAGAAAAAAAAAAAACAACGTTCCTGGCTTTACTTCGTGACCCACGTTCAGCTTCATTTACATAAAACATTTATTTTCAAATAATCACCCACTTGAAATTTTTCTTTGAAATTCTTGAAGAGCAAATAACGCTGCAAATCCTAGTTGCTGTTCACAGTGGAAAATCTGCTTTCTTCCCCCCTCCTCGCACCCCCCACACTTTTTACTCCTGCTCTAATCGAATACCGTCAATCCCTTTAGAAAAATATTAACTGAATGGCTGGTCAATAATAAGCTGATCAAGAATGCATCATCTCTGTTTACAAATAGGCCAACCAGAATCAAATTAAAAGATAATGAAGCACCCCAAAGATAATGAAGCACATTGGTACCAAGTTATCAAAAGTCAGAAGGCATTCCTGATGCTAAGTATTCACACAAGCTATCCTTAGAGCAGCTGACAGCTGCCAACATAAAATGTCATTAAATACAGAAAAACAGAAAGAAAAAGTTACAATTTGTTACTTCAAGAAATAAAACACATAAAATCATACAACTTCAAAAAGCTACTTATTACATGGACTTCATTATGAAACAACTTAAGGGGATGTCTTTCACTGGCCCATTAGTCAAATCTCCTGCTCTTAGGGTTCCCTCACCTCCTTTTTCTGGACACCCCATGCAGGCACCTACCACAGCGATTTAGAAGCCAGGACAATGAGGATACCAGCTGCTTATACTCTTTCTTCCCAGCTAGGGCTTCTGCTTAGGATACTATCTAGAGATGCCAGATTGATCAAATAAAAATTACAAGACTCCCAATTAAATTTGAATTTCAGATAAACAACGAATAGTTTTTTTGTTTTTTTTTTTTTAGTATAAGTATGCCCCATACCATATTTTATCTGGCAAACCTCTCCCTCTCTGTTCTTCTACCCTGGTGAGTTGAGTTAAATAAAGGCAAATCCTTAAAACTCATTTTACCCCTTTACCTTAAGGCTCTAAGGAGCCCCCTCCAGGAAACCAGCTCAGGCTCTCCTAGGCCCTCAGTTGCCCAGAGTAAAGCAGAGTGTACTCTCGGACCCAGCTTACCTGACCAGCTGCAAGGAATTTAAGGAAGTTGACTGTTGGAGAAAGCAATTTTTGATCCCATAGCTCCTCCCACCACGAGCTTCACACGGCTCACTACCCTGTCAGCCACTCCACCTTCCCACCCACAGTGGTGCAACTGTATATTCCAATGTCCTTGCTGTCTGCGGGGGCTCCCCCTTTAGGCTAGTGTGAAGAGGGGCATGGTATGTGAGCAAGATCTGCCTACCCCTGACTCCAAATTAATAAAGGTTTTTGAGCATATGAAGCAGCACACAAAGATGAGTCTTTTATGCTTTTTTTTTCAGGTTTTTATTTATTTGTGTGTGCTGGAGTGAGGGGTGGTTTAACATTTTTCCCCTTCAGCCCTGTCTCTAGAATACTCAAACACAAGCAAAAGTCGTCTATTAAAGCTCAGGAAAATGACTGCTTAATGTCATGTTTCTATATGCACAAATAAGCTCTATGAAAGTACAGATTCAAAACACACAAAAATGTGTGTTTATTATGTGCCATTATTTTCATAGATAAATGTGCTATTATTTTCATAGATATCTTTTTCAGTCAATCCTTGATTACTCATATTAAATGAGAGTGAGAAATAGAGAGACATGGCTAATTCTAATGAACCAAATAATATATCTGGGGAAAATGGCAATCCATAATAGCCCTACATTAAAATTGTGAACATTTAGGAGTTAATTGCCAGACACAGTCCTGAATTTATTTTTTATTCATTAAGAATGCAGACTTTCATTGGAATCATCAAAGATTCAGAATTAGTAAGATCAGAAAGAATGAAACTGTACTATGCTGGGGAAGTTTATTTATATGTTTATAGACATATCATAGAAACATCAAATGGTATAGCTCTTAGATATCACTTATTTCAGCCTTTGCCAGAGTGTGTATCACAGAGCACTAGTCCCAAGAGATTAGGCTCAAACATTGGGTTTCCTGGTCAGTTGTAAGAAATGGCACACTGTATTCCTCTCTTTGAGACCGACAGTACACGAGAGCATAATAAAGGTTCTCACATGTCTTACAGTAAAGAATTTGCTCATTTTTGTTAACCCAGCATTGTTTAACACAGAAATCACCCCTCCTTTTTTAAAAAATCAAGTGCTTGTAAATATTTCTCCTCAGTGTACCCTTATGAAAATACTGATCTAATCCAACTTCCTTATCCTACAGGAAGAAACGTAAACACAAACCAAAGTGCATGGTGTTTTATAGGTCAAGTTAGTTTTCCTTCATATTTTTATTTTGATTTCTCTCTTAAATAGAGAAATACAGTGAACTCCAAAGAATTGGATCTTCCATTAAAATGACATTTTTGCCCATACTTGACTTCCCCAAAGCTAACAATTAGATGCATATTTTTCCTGTAATTTCTATGAAGTAACACCCCACAATCATCCTCCCAACACCACTATCTGAACCTGTAAGTTTCATCAGATCTTTCAAAATGACTGCTGTAGCTTTCTTTTGTTTGAAGGCTCCAGTCAAGCAACCCCTCTGAAATAAGAACTTCGAGCCTTCTAACTGGCTTACTTACACTGTGACTTCTGTTCCTTGAAACCATGCCAGTACTTTATGTTTTCCATGACTTAAGGGTCTCAAGTGAGTTTTAACTGTACTAAAACTTGGTAAGCCAGAAGATATTGGGCAATCCCCTCAATTCCTAAGGGTTTTAGTTTTGCACTAGGTTTAAACCTTGGGGTTTCCACTTTGCAAAATTAAATTTCCTATCTCTAAGTAACAAGAAAGTTTCAAAGAAGAATTTAATTTAGAAAAGTATCTTACAAACATATAAGAAGAGTATAAGGTGAGAAAGGCACTGATTATTGCTCAAATTTAAACAATGTATCTTTCAGGGTGATGTTAAGAATAAATTATGTCTCTATAGCTAGCCACATATGCATCCACTCAAAGGTTATATAAAAGGCAGACATAGTTGTTAATTTACCTCTGTCCATTTTGAAATGAGCAATACAAAGATGAAAATCAGTCCCTCTTTAGGTAAACATGAGTCTTTTTTTCAGATAATGAAATGTAAAAGCATGATATCAAAATGGTTATTTACAAGGGTTTTGTTAAACTCATAATTGTGAAACCATGTTTCAAATCCCCAATAGAGCCAAGTGCATCCACCTTAAAACAAGCATTTTCCCCTCACTCCTATCCTACTACCAAATACGAAACATATATAGAATTTCCAAGCAGAAAGTTTTTACTTGGTGACATGGATTGCCATTAAAATACTTTTGAGGTATGGATTAAATCTCTTGTTTTAGTGATAATATACATTTTATCACCAAAAGTCTTATTGAAATCTTTATACTAACTTGTCATTAAAATCGTAGGGAGTTTAGATTATCAGGCAAATCCCCAAAGAATACCAAACTACAAGTGTATTGTGCATTTAAGGCAAGCAATTCTTAGCATTTTTAGCCAAGCAATTCTTCAAAAAAAATTGTCTAAAAATTATATCAACTTACTATGTGTTTTCATTCTGCAGATATGAAAACAAACAATTTATTGATACAAATTCTTTCTCCTTTAAAAATAAAGATCTAGGATGCCTGGCCTGAATATCTACCAAGTATATTAAGTTTTCCCCAAAATGTGTTTCAAAGATGTGAACAGAATCTATCAGGTTCTAAATGAAACTGCTGAGATTACTTTAAAAAATATATATATATATATATGTGTGTGTGTGTGTGTGTGTGTGTTATAAAATGGTCCTCGTCCGATCTAGTTTAGTAAATACAGCAGCCTTGTTAAGCTTACCTTCTGTTTTTCAGCGAGCAGTTAATATTTGACGATGATGAAACTGTTCCTAGTATTTAAAGAAACAAACAAGTCCACCCACAAGCAATGTAACCAGAAATGGGGTTAAAGAAAGTAAAGTGATAAAGGGAGGCTTTTTGTTTCAAAGCAAATCGATTCCCCAACCATAAATGTCTCATGGCCTTGCAGAGAAGAAGTTGAAATATGACCACTGCCAAAGGATGCCTATCTCTAAATCCCAAAGAAGGAAAAGATAAAGCAAAGAACAGAGAGATTTCATTAATTAGCTTTGAAATCTATCAACTGTACTCCCTAAGTCAGTTTAAACAGCTGGAAAATAAGACTTATTGGACGAGCAGTATGTATGTAAGGATGTGGTGTTCATTAAAAACGTGCATCCTCTATACTCAGCACAAAAAGATTTCTAGGGTCATTTGGCCATGGTGATAGTCTAATCAGTGCATTTTAATTGGTGGAATCCTTATTTTGGCGAGGAAAACATAAAATAAGATAAAACAAATCTACTCCAACTCCATTGTGCCTTCCCTGAAAACGAGGGTAAATTAGAAAACTTCAGAAAACATGTCTTTCTGAAAAAATAAAATGAGTGTTTATTAAGGTAAATCTAATTCCATTCTAGAAAATATTTGATAAAGTGGACACAGTGAAATAAACTAGGTAGGGTAAAACATTAGTGTGCCAATCTTTTACACTTATTTTTCTACCAAAGATAACTGGAGCACTTATTTGGTTTTACATTGTTTCATGTTTTGCATTGCCTTTGTATGCTAGACTCTGGTTTATATGGTCAAATGACCCTTCATATGTGAATTAATTTAAATCATTTGTGAGTGTGCGGGAGAATTTGTATATACAGCTGTAGTCCATGTTAATTGGCATAGAGCAACTGTGGACACATATTTAAAGACCAGGCTGAGGCCCCTGTAAAATTATATTTTCCATTAATATGAAAGTAGTCATAAAAACAAAACTCATTTGAGAGATTTGTAAAATGTTGTGATCTGGTTTGCACTTTTTCCATACCATGTCTGTCTGAATATTAATAGCTAACTTTATTGCATATTTACCACGTGCCAGAAACTGTTCAAAGTACTTTATATGCATTATATCATTTAATCTTCGCAATTGAGGAAACTGAGGCACAGAGAAGTGAAGCATGCCCAAGAACTAACAAGTAGCAGAGCTGTTATCCCAGAACCTAGGTGCTCTGAGTCCAGAGCTCACACTCAACCAGGACACTTTGCCACACAATACTCTGACAGTGCTAAAATAAGGAAATATTTCTACTCTCCGGGCCACCATTTTCCCTCAAAGATTACAATACAGATTGCACATCAATTGGCTGTTAGGTACGTCCAGACACAGTTTAATAGCCCAAATTTATGGCAAATTCATTTTGTTAAGTACCTAGGGATCTTGGATGACTTGATTATGAATAAGACAAGGTAGCTGAATGTTAAAAATACAGTATTCCATCCTTTCTGAAGCAGAAACAATTAGTATAAACGTATCTTCTCTTAATACAGCTTTTTAGTAAATGTTTGCACGATAGCAATTTGCCAGTTGGTTTGGGAGAAGCAGTGTTAAATTATCAGGAGTTAGGTCATGTGAGCTGAAGCGGCCATGACCTGACAAAAGTAACCATCCAGTAATATCCCATGGAGATTGAGAATGGATGGAAATAGGACTTCAATGAAAGAGTTGGTTTATGCCCGTTGTGACTATTATTACTACCATGAGACAAGAATCTTTTAAAAACACATTAGTGCCATTCAGAAGCAGGTTTACTGAGTCCATAAAAGTCTGAGTGCTATAGGTTCGACACTATCATGAAGCAGAGAAAATCTCCAAATGATGACTGACGAAATATCAACCTTATTAAATTGTACAAAGTGTTCTTCTGAAGCATTTCATTGCCCTAAGAACGGAGGCAAATGGGAACTTACATACACTTTACACACCGCCTCACAAAAAGTTACGCCACCTAGAATTCAGTTTCAGTGGGGGTTTTATTTAAATGATCGTGGAGTAGATATACTTCGAGATAGTGCAAAGTAGAGGGTGATGATCTGTGGACCTAGG